AAAAAAAAAAAAAAAAAAAGGAAGAACACAAGGGTAATTAAGATAATTGCAAAGGAAAAAGCGTAGAGAAAGAGATGAAAAAAGCAAAGTACATACCTGATCTCTGGTACTGTAGAGGAAGGAATTATACAAAGAAAAAAGTGTAATTAGGGTTTTCAGAGAAAAGAAGAGGAAGAAGAAGGGAAGGGGAAGAAGAAAATTCAGGTCCAAAGAAAAACTGAAGATCATGTTTTAATATGATGCATATGCGTGTCCTAATAATTAATTAAATTTATTAAATAATAATAATATAAATATAAAGGGAAAAATTGGATTGGTTGTAAGGTGTGATTATAAAAATAGGATCCCTAGCCCATGGTCCTATCTATCTTGCATATTAATATGTATTACCTGTCTGCTCGTCCATCGCTAATAGATATTGTTTATTTTAGTTTGTTACATATAGTCATTAGCATAACGGTTAGGGAAAGGTTTCCAAATCCTTGTAAGCCTAATTTTATTACCATTAGTAAATATTGTCTGCTTTAACTCGTTACGTATAACTATCAATCTCACGGTCTCAAAACGCGTCTTTTAGGGAGAGGTTTTTACATCTTTATATCAGTCTAATCTCATTGCTAGCAGATATTGTTTGTTTTGATTCGTTACGTACGCCGTCAGCCTCGTAGTTTTAAAACATGTATATTAGAAAGAAATTTTTACACATTTGTAAGTCCCACCACCGCTAGCAGATATTATATATAAAAATTAAAAATTTGATTAGACATTTTTTATCACTCGAACCGACATGTCGTCCATGTAGCACCGTCCTTGCGCCGGGAAATTTCTTAATTACGCGGCATGCTTCTGAATCCGGCCCTCGGCACTCTAACGCTCGACACGGCCATTTTCTCATCCACTGCGGCGGAGTATATTCGTCTCGAAAGGAAGTTGGCTTCTATCTGACCACGTTTCAGGCGTTGGAACCGTCGTCATTTGTGCTGGCACCGCCACATCAAAACAAGAGTTCGGCGGTGGATAACTGGACTAACTTGTGAGAATAGCTTTTGGGACTTTAACAGAAACAGAGTAAGATTGTAGACACAAAAGATTTCTATGTAGGGTTTTCTTAAGGCTAGTTTCGTCAAGAACTCATCGCTTTTTATGAATCTTCCTAAGCTCCACCCGCCGAAGAGAGCTAACCGAGTCGAATTTTCATTGGCATTTTTGTTAACTTTCAATTTTGCGGAAAATCGCAGTTCTTTGGTCATTGTCGCTTTCGCATATGCTCTGTTTCTGAAAACCTGTTTATCACTCATGAAAAGGAGTGAATCGGTGAAGTAAATCGAATATTAGGACCTGTGAAATTGGCGAATGAATTTACGCTGAAAAAAAGCATTGAATTGGTTGTTTAGTTCGTTGTTTTCGCTCCATATTTTATCTCCGTGAGGAAGTTCAATCTCCACATGCTTCCAAGTCCATGGTTTGCCATTTTAAGGACTGAGATTGTCTCGGGTGAGTTATAACGAAGTTAGAAATTGAAACCTGTTCAGTAATATGCATCATTTGTGCATGTGTTCTCGCCATTGGAACCTACTTTCAGAAAAAGTAGTACGAATAATGTATTGAGTTTTGGTGAAAGTAATGAACAACTAATCATTATATTTATCTGCTAATTCTCCTCCTATTCTTCATTTTTCCCATTTGATGTTTTTCCTTGTTGATGTAGCGTAATTCTAGATGGGGATTATCAAGCCCTTGCCAAAGTCTGTTCGTAGTTCTGTGCGTGCTGGCGTTATACTCTATGATGCCACGAAGGTTGTGGAAGAGCTTGTTTATAATAGCTTGGATGCTGGTGCGTCAAAGGTAGAGA